TCCCGCATGCCATTGGATCGCAGAGAGACACGGGATTGGCTGAGGCCAGGTAGTCCAACATGTCTGCGCCCTGATCCGACGCCACTGTAGAATACCCGAGCCCTAATATGAAAGAGACCGGTACAACAGAACAGGCTTTATTGACCAATTAGAAGCCAGAGCCACGCGTCAGGCGCCTTCCATCCGAGTCCATCACGCTGGCCACGCCGCTCAATATATACTGCTCCTTAGTCGCGTCCTTCTCAGGTTGGCTGCTTACCTTCCTTGCATGCCATTGGAACTCAGAGAGACACAGAATTGGCTGAGACCAGATGGTCCAATATGTCTGCGCCCTGATCCGACGCCACTGTAGAATACCCGAGCCCTAATAGGTAAAAGACCGGTACAACAGACCAGGCTTTATTGACCAATCACAAGCCAGAGCCACGCGTCAGGCGACTTCCATCCGAGTCCACCACACTGGTCATGCCGCTCATTATATACTGCTCCTCAGTCGTGTCCTTCTCTGGTTGACTGCCTTCCATTCCCGCATGCCATTGGATCGCAGAGAGACACGCGATTGGCTGAGGCCAGGTGGTCCAACATGTCTGCGCCCTAATCCGACGCCACACCACACCACATCGTATAACCGTAGGCCCCACACCGCATCTTGTCGTTGGAATGTCTGGAGAGCATAAATGCCATGTGCATTCGAGCCCATACACCCAAACCTTCGAAGAGATGGAATTTGAACGAGGCATGTGGAACTGCGCTGTTTATGGTAAAACCGATCAACTTCTTCGTTTACTCAAGAAAGGCGTCAATGTTAATTCGCAAGATCGTTATGGCTTTACGCCTCTAGTAATGTTTCCATTGTTTATTGTGAGTAGCATTATGCGTCAAGAAATGGGAGGACTGCGACTTGTGAGCTACTTCTGAGTCATGGAGCAGACGTCTTTGCGGTGACTCGAAACGGAAAGGCGACTGCACTACATCGCGCTGCTTTCTGTGGACATTTAGACGTGGTTAAGCTCCTTTGTTCATGTCAGAAATCGGAAGATTATCCACCATTGGCAAGTATGCTAGATGTGGATGGTCAAACTTGCTTACATTCGGTATGTATAGCACTGCTTTTTTATCCTTACTCCTTGACCGCATACAAGTCAAACTTTCACAGCCATCAGAAAGTAAAGTACAGATTTTAAAGACTTGTTATGAATCCTCATTTTTGGGGTTTTTCATATTCTCACAGATCTGTCTGATTGCTCACCGGATAGCTCCTTCTGCTAATTTACTCTAGCCGAATTTAGTTTTTTTGTCTTTTGTTGATATTTGCGTATGATTATTCTGTTATTTCAACGCACCTTGCATGATTAAATAATCTTATCAGGTCATTCACTTGTAAACTTGGTAATAGTTTTCGCATTTATTGTGTGACGGCTTGTTGAAAATCCAGCTTGATTATTAACTCTCATTAGTGTATCGTTTATTTGGTAACGCCCAGCACATGCCATGCATCTTTTTATCGATCAGTCAAATCACCCGTGGGGTTAAATTTAGGGCATCTGGTATAACATGTAGCCTCTTAGCAGATGCTCAACCACGAAACCTGAAAGTCGTACTGGCCATACGTATCATCTTGAATGTTTTTTGTGAGTGATCAAGTAATCTAAGTGGAGTTAAGCCCACTACCGTTTTCTAACCAAGCGTCGTTGCGCATTTTGACGTCTAGTGTCAACACATCGACTAATCAAATCCATCACCAATTATTTACGAAAATTATTACTGTTACCAAGCGGTAAAAATGAGTAGTTAACCTGTATGTTTATGTATATTATGTACATAACACTTCATAATATGTTCAGTCAGTTGTTTAAAATAACTTGGATCCAATTCTTGATGAATGTTTACACGTTCTCTTGTATTTCTGCAGGCTGCCAGAGGCAACCAGCCTGTCGTGCTGCATTGGCTCTCGATAACGTATCCCGAACTTATTTCAATTCGCGACAATGCTGGAAAAACTGCGTCTGATTTACTACCGCTTTAGTATCTTCCTGTTTCTTTTACTTCTGCACACATATTTATCATCACTTGAACTTCCGTCTTCCCGTTCTAAGAATAACAGGTCGGCTCGGCCCGAACTTGCTGCGTACATTGGCTTTATTTTACTCCTGTTTGGGTGTTCAGTGCCCAATTTCAAAATCACAAATAACGTTTTACTTGAGCATGCTAGTGCGGATCAGTCTTCTGTCCCTCTACAAAGGTCTCAGAGTATTTTTTCACGGCACCCCACCCTGATTGCATGGGTGTTATTTTGCTTGCAGAAAGTGAATTTTATTGAAACGTGCATGGACTAATATAGGCATTGGGGTACTGCGCGGGTTTCCCTCAGGAATTAGGTTAGTTGTGAAGAGGATTGCCTTTTAATTATATGATTGGAAATTACCGGTGATCTGCTCTTCTCAACACGCAGAATTGCTGAATCCCGTTAAATAGGCCGGGGATTGCCACAAACTTCCAATCCCAAAAATCGATTTAGTCTAGGTCGGTACATTACTGTTCTCAGCAAATGCTCCTTCCATCTTATACCGTAACGAAGCTTTTATAGTGAACTCTTTTAGTGCTTGTCACGCACCAATTGTTTATGACATCAACTTTTGCACATGCAGCAGGAAACGTATAACGGCGCATACTTAGCTGACCGCGTGAACTAGTTTACCATGCGCAATGCCCAGATGGCTGTTGCCCAAGTTATTTAATCTGAAAACAAGTTTCGTGAAGGACAACGTTAATTAGGCAGCAAAAAGCTCTGTGATACAATCAATGTTTAGTTATTGAATGCCTATTATAAATTATGTACTACCTAAGTACACAATAAGTGCTTACAAACTGCATTGGATAATCTTAAGAGCAAACCTCGCTGTTTTACTTGAGGAAATTGGCATAAACGATATGTGAATAGAACACGAATGTAGTTGCTATTCGCTAACACGTGCACTCGATAGGCAGTGGAGTCTGACGAACCCTGATGCCACTGTTGCAAAACCGACCTCCGACGCATTCGAAAATAGTTCATGCATTCAAACATGATTCAATCTGGTGGTTTATATGAACTCGTAGATCTATCAGATTCATTTTGGCGTCGTGAACATGGCCATTAAAACACAAAACTCAAGTGATTGGTTTATTCAACGTAAGTAATAGGAGTGTTAATAAGTGGAAATTTGCTGAAGCATGTACAAATCCAGTCGTAGCAGAAAGATAATGGTTAGGGGCTTTAGAACATTCAGAACATCTGATAAAGGCCAGAAACATTGCCTGAAATGTGTTCTTATATGGCCAAACCAAAAACAGTAACAATAAAGTACATTGATTTGTTCTCCCATTTTACAGTACAACTACCTAGAGAGGAAAAATGGCTGATAGCCATATGTATATGCACATATGTATGCATATGAAGGAATTGCAACCTCATTACGCAAATCTACATTAAATATTAAATATCTATTGGATTTGTTAAAAAAACAGAGCACTTGAAAAGTTACCTAGATCAATAACATGCGTAAAGTAGGCTCGTAGTGCCACTTTAATAATCGGGACAACAAAGATAACCAATTCAACTAAATAATTCATTTATTTGATAAGGCTTAGTAACTACTTTTAACCTTAAACTAAAATAAGCAAATTACTGCATATATGAGAAGAATCTCTCAGAGACCAGCCTAAGTTAGCGAAGACAGGATACTATATCGAAGCATGGGCGTGAATAAAGCCGGCAGAGAACATAAAATAAAATTTATCAGAAACCTCTCATACTAAAAATAAACATACCATCGGTAGAATTATCCCAGTAACATGAACTTGCAGTATGCAAACCAGCTCCACATTTCTGCATGATTACGCACGTTACTGAAAGTCTAACAAATACAGAAAATGCAACTACCAATGTATTTAAAAGGTTTTCCGAGCTTGGTCAACTGATTCAAAATTTGTTCGACGATCGTTGAAGTCCATTGGGGAACCTTATCATGAACATAAGTACTGGAACCAATGTTATTTTCGATGCTCTGCAATGACTCAGTATAAAAGGCACACAACGTACTTCTTTTACAATGTTGGTCACTTCATCAACTACAAATGTTGTCTGGAGGAAAATAAAAGATGTTTAAAATTGCTACCTCCTCGACGGCAACGTCGTCCATGACCAACGCACTAGGTTACCAGTGGTTATCTTTCAAATGACGCCCCGTGCAATAGAGTTAATTAAATCATTTATGCAAATTTTCTTCCTTTTACTAACAAAACCATTCGTTTAACCCAATCAATGCCAAAGAATGTGCAACAAAATCACGAAGTTAAAGTTAATAATACACATGCATATTTAGTATATCAGTTTTTATCAGAGATTATTTTAATTGTTTAAAAACGGAGTAAATATGACACACCTATTTGCACATATTCCTCTAAATATTAAACATCTTTACGGAGTGCAACAGAGAGCATCTATTGTGTATATTTCCAACACACATTAACAGCATATAAATTTATTTATCTGGCCGAAAATTTCGACTTAAATTCGTCTTAAAATTTATTTATTGAACTAAAATTTCGCCTTGATTAAAGTTGAAAAAATTATAAGAATTTTCGGCACTGGATTTTACAGAAGTTCAGTATTCTAAAAAATTTTAAGTTCAATAAAAGTTAACATGAATTATATCAAACTTATTTCGCTTGATTTTTGGCGTTTAGCATACATTTGTCAAAATTAAGCGTCGCAGTAAGATATTCTATGCTTCTATGATTATAAACAGCAAGCGTCATGTAGTCAGTAAGAAAATGGAATCATATCCATTCACAAAACGTACCGTGAAAAGCATGAAGAATTTAATTATTCACAACATTCCAAACTGATTAACGTATTTTAAAAATTCAGTGTTATAATGAATGCTAAACATTATTTAACAAAGTACATTCCTTTACGAGTAGACGCTTTGAAGCGTTAGACAACGAATATGTTTAAATTTAAGCAGTAAATATTTGACAATAAGCAAAGTAAGTTATAAATGTTAATCAGGGAAACGAACACTATAGACATAAGTCCTCACAGCCTTCGTTAATTTCAAATATCCTTCAACATACGCACCGCTAGTCTAGTTAACGAATTGCAACCGGCTCTCAATAAGAATCATAATTAAAATAGCAGATAAATCAAGACTTATTCGGTAAATGTTACATTAAGCCAAGACGCTCATGAGACCAGTAAACTGGTCATTTGTCAGCAAGGATAACAGCAGAAAATCCGCACCATTCTCGAAAAAAATAGCATTTTATCAACGCAATGAAACAGATTACAGTGCTGCGATCGAAAGTCTTGTAGTGAATCGTGTTGATTCACGTCCAATAACCCTGTCCTCGCAGT